TGTGCCTTCACTCGTGTTCTCTCTTCCTGAAAGCTCCCTCTGGGCGGTTTCACCCTCCCCCAAAGCCTTCCCTAGCCTGGGAGGTGGGACTACTGGGAAGAGGGCCGGTCTCCAGACTCCTCTGCTGTGACACCTGCCTCCCCTCTGGGTCAGTGTGAGCTCTAAGGGGGGCCTGCTGTGCACCTCCTTGCATCAAACGTGGTGTCTGCATGTGTCGCATCCATGATAGCAAAGCCCTGCGGGGAGCCAAGGTATGCCTAGATGGGGCCCGCAAATCCTGCCCAGCAGTCCCAGCCCAGCCCTGGCGGTGCTGCTTGCTGACCTGTGCACCTGGGCGTGCCCACAGTCCGGGCAAAGAGGAGAAATGGGTCCCAAAACTCTATCAGCTTCCCCATCTGTAATGAGCCCCTGGGGGCACGTGCAGGTCACTGGAGCGCCCGAGGCGGCGCAAGTACTCAAAGGTTAACTTGGAGAAGGAGTGGGGTTATCGGGATTAATGCTCCACACATTTCTGAAGGCTGTGTTCGTTTAGAGTCAGGAAAATACTGCTTTAGGGAAGCCAGCTCTCGGATGGTGAAATATATCTTAATTTAACACAATTCTCACTTCGTGAAAGATGCTCAAAGATGCTTGGTTCCACCGAGAAATTCATAGAAAGAAAAAAAAAATGTCCTGTCACTGGCCAGTGAGGCTCAGTTGGTTGGGTGTCATCCATGCACCAAAGGGTTGCTGATTCGATTCTTGGTCAGAGCACATGCCTGGGTTGCAGGCTCCATCCCTGGTGGGGGCTACAGGAGGCAGCCTATCCATGTTTCTCTCTCACATAGATGTTTCTCTCCCTTCCTCTCCAAAAATCAAAAATATTTTTTAGCCGAAACCGGTTTGGCTCAGTGGATAGAGCGTCAGCCTGCGGACTGGAAGGTCCTGGTTTCTATTCCGGACTAGGGCATGTGCCTTGGTTGCGGGCACATCCCTGGTGGGGAGTGTGCAGGAGGCAGCTGATCGATGATTCTCTCTCATCAATGTTTCTAGATTTCTGTCCCTCTCTCTTCCTCTCTGTAAAAAATCAATAAAATATATTTAAAAAATATTTTTTAACGTCCTATAATGACCCAACTAGAAAAGGTTAACTCAGGACCATTAGCAAGACTTGGCTAGGGTCCCTTGGCTAAGTCTCTGCCACCTGACAGCCAGGACAGGGGTCTCTGTGTAGGAAGCAGCAGAACTGGTGTGTGTGTGTGTGTGTGTGTGTGTGTGTAGATAAAGCCCTTTAGTTCATGGCATTAGTGGAATTTGTCTAAATAAAAAGTTTGGCTTTCTATGGAACTCAAATTCAGAAGCTACTGGTAAAGAATGACAGGGTAGACAGCTCTCCGGATGCTGGAAACAGCAATGTGAGGGAAGGAAGCACACTTTGAGCTTTTCCTAGAGAAACTCATGAAAAAAGGAAGGGTTTGCTTTGCAGCTGTTTGTGCAGGATGGCTCCCAATGGAGTGGTTTGCCAGATCTACGACTTTCAATCTGTTCCCTCCAGACATCTCAGGGAGAGGAGAGGACCCTGTCTGATCTGAAGCTGAACTTTCTCTGCTGATGCCATCTCATCCTATATAATAAAAGCATAATATGCAAATCAACCAAACAGTGGAACAACCGGTCGCTATGATGAGCACTGACCACCAGGGGGCAGACACTCAATGCAGGAGCTGCATCCTGGTGGTCAGTGCACTCCCACAGTGGAAGCACCACTCAGCCAGAAGCCCTGAGCCAGGCTCATGAAGGCAAGCACAACAGATGTGGCAGGAGCCTCGCCACCACCCCTGCTCCCCATGGGTAGCAGGCCTAAGCTGGCAGTTGGACATCCCCCAAGAACTCCCAGACTGGGAGGGCACAGGCCCGGTTGAGGGACAAATTTTGTGTGCTGGGCCTCTAATATTTGATATTTTATTTGAAGGAATGTGGCAGTCATCTGAACCCCTGGATCCACTTCCAAGGCTCCTTATGGCTATATGTTCTGGAATGTGGCAGAGGGATGAATGGGCCTAGAGGCCTCCTCAGAAGCAAAAGCATTTTATTTCCTGACCAAACTGGCCTCCTACTTACGTGCATTCAGACAGTCCCATGAACTGAGCTGGTTGGGTCACTTACAGTGGGTGAGCAGCAATGAGTGGCAACACATGGCAGAGTATTTTGGAGGTGACCTCCACTGTTTCCGTTGCCTAAAACATGTGCTTTTCTGTTTTCCAACTTCTCATCCTACACGTTAAGTGCCATGGTGGTGAATCGCTGTTTTCCTAATCAGACCTTTTTTAATAGAGTGTTTGCTTAGTGATCCAAAGCACTGATGCAGGAATCAAATCTAGGATGAAGTCCTGGCCCTGATGTGTAACAGCTAGAGGAACTCTATGAGATGGTTTCCCCACCTACAAAATAGGACTATCTTTACCTTACTATTAATGTCCCTTCATTTAATCCTAAGTGTCCAACACTCCTGCCATGTAATCAATGTGTTTTGGGCCATTGCTCCCTGAAATAGGCCCATAATCCTAGTGTGCTGCAGACTTAAAAAATGCCATATGTCTTCCGTCTTGGAGATGTAGGCTATCGCTTCTCATTAAATATAAATCTGTTTCCCTCTAATAATCCTCTTGAAACTGGATATTACAACAACTAGAAAACTTTTTTGAGATGGTGTTTTAAAGGGGGTCAAAATTAGTAGCAATGACTTACCTTGCGGTCATAAAAATAAACTCTTTTCTTTATGGGGCACAATTGAGATTACTTAAGAGTAGATGAGGGCCCTGCCAGTGTTGCTAAGTGGATAGAGAGTCAGCCCAATGTACTAGAGGGTTGTGGGTTCAATTCTCAGTCAAGAGCATATTGAACCTGGGTTGCAGGTTCAATCCCTGGCACTGGTGGGGGTGCATGTGGAAGGCAACCAATTGATGTGTCTCTGTCACATCGATGTTTTCCTCTCCTTCTTAATCCCTCTTTTCCATTCTCTCTGAAAAGCAATGGGGGAAAAATATCCTTGTATGAGGATTAATATAAAAAAAGTACATGAGAGGATAGGACACGGTTTCTCTCTGGCATGAGCTTGCAGGGCTGAGATTGCCCTACAATACAGGTAAAGGTACCTCCTGTTGAACTTTTAATTGAATTAACCTGAAATCTGATATTGTTTTAAGCCAATTTCTGTGAGGTGCTTCTCCTGCTAATATACAGCAACTGGAGGACTATGGACGCCACAGAGGCCCCTCTACTTCACATGGGAGGTGGGGATTGGGGAAGTGGCCAACATGACCCTCTCAACAGAATGGCTGAGAGCTTCCTTAATGTCCCTTTGAACGGTTGTATCACGCTCCACTTCTCCAGATTGAGCTGTGCTGGGCAGAGTGGGAAGGATTGGTCAACTCCAGGAAGTAATTTGCATTTTTCATTTGCCGATTTGCAGACGAATTGTAGGCTATCTTTGCCCAAGCTCCTAAAGAGACTAATGTTTAAAACAGGTAAAGGCACCACAACAAAGCATCAGTCAACTTGTTCTCCTATCTTGCTGGGGTGGCTGGTGGTGCTTTGGCCTTGGGACTAGTCCCTGGCGTAGTAGTGAGCTATTGCGAGTAGTGCCTATAGTTCTGAAACTAGATTCTGTTGTTCTGTTTCCAGGTCCTTTCTCTCCTGGTCTTTTTCTGGTTCTTCATTCTCTTGGGCCCTAAAATAAATGTCACCAAGACACAATTCTTGTTCTTTTCTCTTGCTTGACTCTCTATTCACGGAATTCTCCAAGTTGTGTACACAATTCCTTCCAAATCGATATGTCTATATTATTCTTTCCTATCAAAATTATTCTCAGCTGTTATTCACTCGAGACTAGAGTGAATAACTCTGGCCTTCTCTATCCAGCTTTCTCTTTTCTATAGTGTAGTCTTGCCCGTTTTATATACTTGGAAACAATATTCATTACACACTTTTAAGAAATGTCATTCCCTGCAGCCTTGTAAAAAGTTATTAAAAAGTTAATAACCTCCTCTTTTTTTGAGAACCAACTCCCTTTGTGACTCTATCACCCACCACCCTCATCCAACAAATATTTGAGTACCTACTTACCCTATGCCATGCATTGTGAAGGGCCTGAGAAATTGTACCTAAGACACACACGGTCCCATTATCACTGGGAGCACAGAGAAAATATTGGGTGGTGGTAAAAAGCTATGGAGAAGAGAAAACAGACTGGGTGGAAAGATACTTAGATTCTTGGATGGGAGAGATTTGGAGAGAGAGTGGGCTGGGACCAGCTCACTCAGGGCTTCACAGGGAGTTTGGGTTTTGTTTTAAGATCAATGGGCAGCCAGTAGAGGTTTTTAAGTGGGAGAAATTACATAATCAGATTCTTGTCTTCAAAAGACCACATGGTTTCTGTGTCGAGAACAGGTTAGCATAAGGCAATGGTAGAAGCAGGAAGAATCATTGGGAAGCAGTGCCATAGTGAAAGTGAAAAATGGTAGTGGCCTGGTGCAGGTGGAGGCAGTGTACAAAAGAATGAAAAGGAGTGGCTCACACTTGAGACTGTCCTGACTCAATGAGCTGGTGGATTGGGTGTGGGAGGAGAGGGTCTTCTTCCTATCATAGCCTGGTTGGCTTCCTTACTGTCCTGCACATACACTCTATATACAACACTGCGGGCACACCCACAGGGAAGGGTTCTCTATTTCCATCCATCCTAGCCATGAAGAGCCCAGTTCAAGCCAAACTGCCTCTGAAAGGTTTCCTTTATAAAAATAGCCTAGGACTGGTCCACTCTGAGCTTCCACAGTGCTCATCGCCTATTTAGCTGGGGTGGTGATGCCTGTGGAAGTGGACTTCCTGATTCTGCTCTCCACTCCACTATGAACCCTTTAAGGGCTTAGAACCTGGGTGGCTTTAGCATAGTAACCCACACACTGGATACTGAGCATCGCTTTGTGACTGTCCTGCCTATAGGTGATTTACTTCTTCCAGTCAATATGCCGACTGCAGAAGCTCCAGAAGAGAGGCTGAGGAAATTTAAATATCGAGGCAGAGATGCATCTGTAAGTATGAGGCAACAGCTTCACTTAGAGAGTGATTCCCTAACAGTGGAAATGGCCGGGGACATAGGGCCTCGGGACAGCCCAGCTGGATCCCTATGGTTGAGAGTCCCAGGCCTGCTCTTCAGGATCTAATCAGCACCAATGAAGACATGCTCAGACTCAGGGCAACGGGACCCTTTGCTCAGATGTCTCTACAGTTGATAATCCTATCTGCTAAGGGCACAAGCAATCTTCCTTCACCTTGGGAGGGAGATTGACTATTCTAGATATGGTGTGGTAGAAGACAGCAGAGGAGGTCGATAGAACTGGGCCTATTTACTAATTGTGATTTTAACTCTTCCAGCCTGTTGACAGTGTAAAGTGAAATCAGATGCTTTAAGTGTATCTGAAAGGCTAACATGGTAACGGCCTGGCCTCCTGGCTCTAAGTGCCCCCGTTCTTTCTTTCCCTCACTAGATGATGCGACAACAGCGGATAGCAGTCAACGTGCAGCTCCGAAAGGCCAAGAAAGAGGAGCAGGTCTTGAAGAGAAGAAACATCAATTTCTGCTCTGACCCAGCTTCTGGAGAAGAGACCAAAGGGGTACGTTGGGAATGTGGCCTTGAGAGCAGTTGTGTATAAAACACATCCTTAGTAAATTTCTCTGGCTTAAAAGTATGGTTCAGAACTTGCAAGCTCTAATTGAAGGTCTTGAAGGAAAGGGGTGGAGAGATCATGGTTAGGCTTAAACTGGTGTTGTCAGAAAGCTCAGGGTCATTTCCTTTGTGGCTGTGAGTCTGAGATCAAGGCTCTAAGCGGGGGGAAGTGATGCTTCTAACTGAAAATTCACTTGCCGCCACTCAGCCAGAAGCAGGGAATGAGGGGGTCATGAAAGCTACCACTCAGCAGAGGCATCTAGTTACTCAACATGCGAAGTCTTGCCTAGGACTTGAATGCTGCCCTCTGTCTTCCCTTCTCCGTCCACCCTAACCCTGCTCAATACAAGTCCTGGGTTGAGCCCTAGCTGGTTTGGCCCAGTAGGTAGAGCATCAACCTGCGGACTAAAGGGGTCTCAGGTTTGATTCCGATCAGGGACATGTACTTCAGTTGCAGGCTCCTCCCTGGCCTGGGCCCTGGTTGGGGCTTGTGCAGGAGGCAACCAATCTATGTGTTTCTCTCACATTGATATTTCTCTCAGTCTTTCTCTCTCTCTTCCACTCTCTCTAAAAATCAATAGAAAATTATCCTTACATGAGGATTTAAGAAAAACAAACAAACCCATTCCAAATCCTGGGTTGACTTTTGAGGTCAGTACTGTTTTTTTCATTTGTTTGGGGGTCTTTTTGTGATCTTTCTAGCATGCCTTGAGCAGGAGGTTTCCCTCAGAACCCCAACAGTATCGTATCTACATGCCTTTGTAGCTACGTGCCTTTTATGATCCGCCACTGTGTGTGTCATCACTGTGCTCTGCTCAGCTTAGGGCTCGAGAGGCAGAGTGGTTCAATCTGGGCAAGTGGATTCAATGATGTGCTACCAGCCATCAAATAGAAGAGCTGTAACCATTCTCTGAATTGCCGTAGGACTCTGAACCATATCTCTACTTAGCTTTATTTATCTAGAATAGTCCCCAGGAGTCCCCCATCCAAGGAAGATGGAACTATGAAATGAAAGACTTGTTTTCCTTTTTATCCTTTATAACTATGCCTTTTAAAAAATATATATATAATTCATGGACCTTGGAATTCACCTTTATAAAGTATATAATCAGCATTTTTTTAGTATTTCACAAGGTTTTACAACCATCACCACTAGCTAATTTCAGAACATATTCGTCACCTCAAATAGAAACCCCATACACAATAAGCAGTCACTCAATCCTCCTTCCCTCTAGTTTCTGGTGACTAGGAATCTACTTTCTGTCTCTGAGTTTACCTACTTTAGGTATTTCATATAAATGGAACCATAGAATACGTGGTCTTTCATGCCTGGCTTCTTTCACTTAGCATACTGTCTTCAAGGGTCAGCCATGTTGTAGCAGGTGCCAGTCCTTCATTCCTTTTATGGCTGAGTAGTATTTCATTGTATGGATATACCACATTTGGTTTATCCATTGATTACCTGCTGGACATTTGAGCTATTTCCACATTTTGGCTATTATGAATAGTGTTGCTATAAACATTGGGTATAAGTTTTTATATGAACATGTTTTCAGATCTCTTGGGTACAGGGGAAGAATTACTGGGCTATATGGTAACTCTATATTTAACACTTTGGGGAACTGCCTGTTGTAAGCTGAATAATGCCTACCCCAAATGTCCCCATCTCCAAATCCCCATCATATTTTATATGATGAAAGGGGCTTTGTAGACAAGATTAAGTTAAGGATCTTGCAATGGGGAGGTTATCCTTGATTCTCTGGTGTGTCCAATTCAATCGCATTAATCCTTAAAAATACCAAGGATGAAGGACAAGTCAAAGCATAAGGTGATATGATGACAGAAGCAGGGATTGGTATGCTAGGCTTTGAAGATGGGGCACAAGTCACAGGCCAAGGAACACAGCAACTCCACTAGAAGCTGAAGGGCAAGAAAACATACTCTCCCCTCATAGGCTCCTAAAGGAACCAGCCCTGCCACCACCATGACATTAACCCAGTGAAACTGATGATGAACTTCTGACCTCCACAATTGTGAGAGAATGACTCTGTGTTGTTTTAAGCCTCTAAATTTGTGGCAATTTTTACATTAGCAATAGGAAACATGCTGTCAACTATTTACCCAAGTAACCTGCTCCATTGTACAATCTGATATTCTAACCATCTATTATTATTGTCCATTTTGGGATGGTAGCCGTCTAGTGCATGCAAAGGGCTATGTTGTTCTGATTTTTGTTTTTCTAATGACTAACGGACATTTTTTTCATGTGTTTATTGGCTATTTGTTTATTTTCTTTGGAGAAATGTCTATTCAAACCATTTACCCATTTTTTAAAAATCAAGTAATTTGTCTTTCATTCTTGAGTTTTAAAAGTTCTTTATATATTCTGATAACTACACCCTTATCAGATATATGGTTTGCAAATATTTCATCCTATTTTATGAACCATCTTTTCACTTTTTTGGTAGAATCCTTGAAGCATAAATGCTTTTAATTTTGAAACATTTCAATTTATCTACTTTTTTATTTGGTTGCATGTGCTTTATTTTTAAACAATCTCTATTCTTTTTTTAATGTATTTTTATTTATTTCAGAGAGGAAGGGAGAAGGAAGGAGAGATGGAAACATCAATCATGAGAGAGAATCATTGATTAGCTGCCTCCTGCATGCCTTCTATTGGAGATCAAGCCCACAATCCGGACATGTGCCCTTGACCAAAATCAAACCTGGGACCCTTCAGTCCTAAGGCCGACACTCTATCCACTGAGCCAAACCGGCTAGGGAGGTTGTGTGTTATTTAGATGTCATATTTATGACTTCATTGTCTACTACAAAGTTACAGTAATCACATCTGTTACTTAGGTTAGACATGTAAATCGTGGAAGAGAATGCAGAGTCCACAAATAAACCATCATATTTATGGTCAAAGTCTGACAAGGTGTTAGGACCATTCAGTGGGGGGAGAATAGTCTTTTCAACAAATGGTGTGGGGACAACTGGATCTACACACGCAAAACAATGAAATTAGACCCCTACTTATACCATTTTTGGAGGTCTTTGTCATTTTTGTGGACATCCACTAGCATGTTCTTACTGCATGTTATAAAAAGGCTCTGGGGTCCAAGTGATGGTAGGAATTACCTCTCCCCAAGAACATGAGGAATATCTCAGAGGTCTGGGAGATCTGAGACCAGCAAATACCCTTCTCTCCCTTAGTATAGACCAGCCTGCAGATTTGGACATATGCTAAACCCAGCCTGTTCTAATCAAATAGATGGCTAGACTAGATGACCTTCATGGTTCCTCTTAGCAGAGACTCTGACCCGAATGTGTGTCTCCTTGCAGGTCAGGCTCACGCTGGAAGAAATAATCAGGGGTGTGAATGCCTCAGATCCCATCGTGTGTTTCCAGGCCACCCAGGCAGCCAGGTATCACCAACCAGACTGCTGCTGTTTATAGGTTCATAGTTAGAAATGAGCTCCAATGGCCTGTCTGGTTTCTAGGCCGTGGCGAAATGCCCACACAATATAAGAAAAGGCTAATCCATCCAAAAGTGAGACTCAATATCTCCTCTATACTCTCCTTGAGAACAACTTAAGATATACAGTGTTGTCAGAGATGAACCGCTTAATTTAAATTGGCCTCTACAGAAATCTTTGTGGTAGATAATACCTGAAGGGAAAATTTTTGCTTCATCACTGCAAAGTGCTATGAGCTAAACTCTATCTAGAATGTTACGTAGTTAGGAATGCCAGCAACATCTATAAAGGAGGTTCTTCATATCTGCCTCATGTGACTTGCTTTTCTTTTTTTTTTTTTTTTTCTCTTTCATTGCAAAGGAAAATGCTGTCCTGGGCCAAGAACCCTCCTCTAAAACAGTTTGTTGATGCAGGGCTCATTCCAAAGCTGGTGGAGTTACTGACGTCACCATTTCATCCCAGTTTGCAGTTTGAGGCAGCATGGGCTCTGACCAACATTGCTTCAGGGACTTCAGAGCAGACGCAAGCTGTTGTGGAAGGGGGTGCCGTCAAGCCCTTGGTTGAGCTCCTGTCTTCCTCCAACCTAACTGTGTGTGAACAGGCAGTGTGGGCCCTTGGTAATATAGCAGGTGAGACTCTTCCCTCAGGAGACTAAGAAAATAGTGGGCCAGGCATATGGCGTGCTGCAGGAGTTCTTTGGGTAATATTGTAGACTTGATACTCTACGTAGAAATGCCTAGAAATGCTTGTGGAAGTACAACAGGCTTCTCCCAAATTCAGAGCCAAGTTCAGAGGTCATAAATTGAAGCTGAAACCAGAGAATGCAGTATGTCCTGAAGCTCCGGGCTACCTAGGGACATCTGCCAATACCAGGCCCTACATGCGTAGGTCTCAGTGGCTTCAAGAACCAAGGACAAGCTTTTGGCTTATTCAGTGGAGGGGGTTTGGGCAGACACTTATGTAATCCAGACCCTAAAAAAAAAGTCTACTTCTAGAGAGAAAGTTGCCAGTGAAACATACAAAAGTTTGGGGTAAAAGTTTCCCCTGAGAACACCCTAAAATTGGCCTTATAAATTTGGGACTTGACGCTGTATTTCTGCAAGGTCCAGGAAAGCAAAAGCTGGGGTGTTACTGCTACAGGGTTGGGAACTCCCTAATTTCTGGCTGAATAGAAATATAATGCTTTTGGGGGAAAACTAAATCAACTGGGTTCCTCAGATTTTGACAAAGATCAGCCAAATATTAGCAATTTCAAGTTCAGAGAATCAACAACCCCTCATGACTGTGTTAGTAGAAACAATCATTCAATTATAACTCCATGGACTTTGGATATTGGGATTTGCAAACACCAAATATAAAATCAATCTGCTTTTGAAATGCTTGCAGAAGTATAGCACCTACTGCAATGGCTTTGTCTCTCATTTTGACTGGTTCCATAAGGAACAGGCAAACTGGGTGGTATAATGTAACTGATGCCTTACCTGATGGTTGAAGAATTATAAATAGAGACTTTTATAGTCCAGAAATCTGGTATTCTAGCCAAAGTCACAGAGAGCTGATGCCTAACACCAATGCATCTCCCAGACTTGGTTCTGAGTCACATCTGGAAGTTACTGCCCTATGCCAAAGTCTTCTGGGAAGACAATTTGGTCTGCAATGGCCTTGGTCCTCCTGAGAACTATGCTATAAAACTATATTAGCATTTAGAGAGCTCTTCCTGGGCCCAGTTGGCGGGCTCCTTGATGCATCCACGGACTACTTACGGCATCTGTTGTTGTGTGGGACCTGCTTTCACACCAGGCCTAGCCACCTAAGCTACATGTTCAAGACTCAGGATCAAGTTCATGACTGTATTCTCTACTTGCCCAACCTGCGAATGTGTTTTGGCCTCTTACCCTTTGCACAGACTTTGAAAAATGAGTCACCTATCCCAGGATTCTCTTTGTTCCCTCTTTGAATGTCCTGTTTTTATCTATTTGTAGGTGATGGCCCAGAATTCAGAGACTCTGTTATCTCAAATAACGCCATCCCACGTCTACTGGCCCTGATTTCATCAACCACACCAGTGAGTGTCTTTCAATTAGAAAACCTAGCTGGAAACAAGTTCCCAAATCAATGCCTGGCCCCTTATTATGGCAATTATACACAAGGCCTTGAACTGAATATCACGTTGAGTGAAAATTAATCCAAATTTGTCCTCAGTAGGAAGTAGTGCTGATCATTCTTTTGAAAGCATTGGGGAAAAAATCTGCTAAGATTTTTCTCAGTTTACAATCTTGCAAAATTAGATGACTAAACTCTACTCTTCAAGGAGCACAAACTGAATTAGTGACTCACCAGATCTGTTCCTAGGTAATAAAGTTTAGGTTTGAAGATTAGAGTCAAAGTCAATTGATGTGGCACACTGGCCAGGTGGCTCACTTGATGAGAGCCTCCTCCCATATATCAAAAAGGCTGTGGATTCTATTCCTGGTCAGGGCACATACTATGTTGCAGGTTCAATCCCCTGTCAGGGTGCATGCATGAGGCAATGGATCAATAATTTCTCTCTCATATCAATCTGTCTTTCCCTTCTTCCCCTCCATTTTCCTCTACCTCTCCCTTTTCCTTCCTCTCTTTCTTTTCTTTTTTTTTTTTTTTTTAAATATATTTTATTGATTTTTTACAGAGAGGAAGGGAGGGAGATAGAGAGCCAGAAACATCGATGAGAGAGAAACATCGACCAGCCGCCTCATGCACATCCCCTACTTGGGGATGTGCCCGCAGCCAACGTACATGCCCCTGACCAGAATCAAACCCGGAAACTTTCAGTCCGCAGACCGATGCTCTACCACTGAGCCAAACCGGTTTCGGCTCCTTCTTCTCTTTCTAATCAATAAACATTTCCTCAGGCGAGATTTTTTTTTTTAAGTGGATTGATGTGGCAACAATAGAGGAGTCCCTGGATTAGAAATTATATTTGGTCCTAACCAGTTTGGCTCAGTGGAAAGAGCGTCAGCCTGCAGACTGAAGGGTCCCAGGTTCAATTCCGGTTAAGGGTATGTACCTTGGTTGAGTGCACATCCCCAGTACGGGGTGTGCAGGAGGCAGCTGATGGATGTTTCTCTCTCATCGATGTTTCTAACTCTCTATCCCTTTCCCTTCCTCTCTGTAAAAAATCAATAAAATGTATTTTTTTAAAATAATCATAGTCCTAGTTGTACACATTAGATTAAAGTGATTGAGAGGCACCATTGCAGCGACATCAGGTAGGTGAATATGTGGGTCTAGATACTCATGTACACATATGTCATCCAGCTGGGCAAGATCAAGAGCAGGGGTCAGCTGCTTGCTTTTGTAGATAGAGTTTTACTGGAGCACAGCCACGCCTATTCACGCACATACAACTTTCTGTGTCTCTTATGGAGTTACAAATGCCGCGTTGACTAGTTGTAACAGAGCCCTGTGGGCCCACAGAGCTGACCATGTTTACTGTCTTTACTGTCGGGCCCTTAACAGAAAATGATGCCAATCTCTGACCTAGCGTGTGAGGAGAGTCCAGGACCAGGTTCTAGGTCCCTGACCTTCAGAAGTCAGGCAGTGCGTGCCAGGAAGACTGAGGAGGAGCATCCCATTTATCAATTTAAAAACAAAAAAAAACAAAAAAAAAAACAGGTTTGGTGTCACAGATGCCAAGAAGGGAACAACTGGTGACTAAATACAATGGGGAGGGTCAGTAAAGAAAGCAGCTGTGGGATTAGAGACTCGGAAGAAGCTGATTCCATCACTAACCATAAAGAAGCAGGGTCAGAAACCAGACCAGGAGGAGCACAAGCACAGATGGGAAGCACACAATAGAAAGGGAACGCAGATGCCTCCTTGAGGATAGAGTGAAACACAGAGTGAGGTGATGGCTGCAGTGGTGCCAGGGGTGAGGGTTGAAGGTCACAGTGTTTCTGTGCGGTGGGAGTGGTCCAGGAGAGAGAGGTGATACTGGGGACAGAATCTTTAAAGGTGAAAAGTGGTGGAATTCAGAGGCAAGGCAGGGAAGATTAACCCTTGAATAGAAGATAGGAAATGTGGTTATGACATGTTGGTTATAGATCAGTGGGAAGAACAAGAAGCCTCTTTGTCTTGCCAGGGAGAAATGAAATGAGACCGTCAGATGAGTTGAGGGAAAGGATATTTTGAAGAATGAAAAGAAATATATCCATCTAGCATTTGAATAGGAAGCAAAAAGCTCATTCTCTCTGTCCCTGGTATACATACTTTAACAGCTGATATCCCAATTTTGGAAAGTGAAATATATTTTAATAAGCACTGCCTTTATAATTATTCAAAATGTGTATACACAGGTTTGGGGACATCCTATCTATACATCACTACCTAGAACAAATTGCTGTTTGTAGCTCAAATTCTTTGGTTCATGCAGGTCAATTCCAGTGATCAATGATGGCAAGGACACACTGCTGTTTGCATTTTTTCTGCTTTGCACCTGATGCTAGACGCAGTCTCTTGTTACAGATCACATTTCTGCGGAACATCACATGGGCCCTGTCCAACCTGTGCCGAAACAAGGACCCGGACCCCAGCCAGGAAGCCGTGGACCAAATGTTGCCCGTCCTCTCCCAGCTCCTGCAGCACCACGACAACGAGGTGCTCTCGGACACCTGCTGGGCTCTGTCCTACCTCACTGAGGGCTGCAGCGAGCACATCGACCAGGTGGTGGACATGGGGGTGCTGCCCAGGCTGGTTCAGCTCATGGCCAGCTCGGAACTCAATGTCTTGGTAAATGTCCCAGGTCTTGTCTGTCTCTCTGTGGGCCTTCCAAGTAGTATTTACTTTAGCGAGTTCTACCCTTTCCTCACCCCCTGGTTTCCACACTGAACTCTAATCCTTTTCCTAGAACAGGGTCGGCAAACTCATTAGTCAACAGAGCCAAATATCAACAGTACAATGATTGAAATTTCTTTTGAGACCCAAATTTTTTAAACTTCTAATGCCATTTCTTCAAAATATGGCCGTGGTATTTTGTGGAAGAGCCACAGTCAAGGGGCCAAAGAGCCGCAGTTTGCTGACCATGGACCTAGAACAAAGCTTATCATTTGCATTTCCTTGTTCTCTGATACTCTCTAGCCAAACACTTGAATCTATTTTGACCCAAAATCCTATTTTTTATTCATCTGACTACTAGAAAAATAGAGAGCACCAAATTAAAATTGACTATAATTCCTTTGCCCCGTGAACTACCCTTCGGTGGCCTTTCCTTCTAGTGGTCTATGTGTGTAGACATTAACAAGTTGGCTGATACAGAATGTGTGTGTGTGTGTGTGTGTGTGTGTGTGTGTGTGTGTTCATGTAAAGCCCATGCAACATTTGAATTGCTTACTCAAGTATAAAAGAAGATTCCTCTGATCCTCTCCCAAGATTGTTCTCTAATACTATTTCAGATATAAGTGAAAAGTAAATAAAACCAACATGTCACTTACATAATATACTTCTTGAAAAGGTCTTTTAAAATGTGGGTGCCCCTTCTGATTTCTGTGCCTAACACTATGTATTATGCAGTCTTAATGATCATCTGCTTTGAGATGAGCATAGTATTCCTCAGATGTCAAGGTTACTTTGGGGATAATGCTGGTAACTTGGAGGATACAAAGAGAATATCTATAAGAAGTCACTTATCCTGGGAGTGTCGGGGCAAACTGCCAGGCTTGGCAAGGCTGCGATTGGCCTATAGCACTACCTCTATGTCTCACTTTAGTAGCAGATACCCAGAAAAATAAGCTAGGAAAATCCTATAACTATTATCTCTCACTCAAGTGCAAGAAACCCAAAATAAATCCTAAATCAACCCTCCAAGGACAGTTGTCTGGAACCCAATTGTAGACCCATCCTGGGAACCGTCAGAGTTATTGAGAAGGGGTTGTAAGTACATCAAAAAATGCCATTGGGATCTCTCTGGCTCCAATAATGTATACAACAGAAAGTTGACTCTGGTGCTAACTATAAATTCAATAGACATAATTACATTAGAAACACCACCATCAACTCAGCACTTTCCCCAATGTAGGGAAATAAAAGGGAGAGCATCATTTCTTGATACAGGTATCCCTTGACCTCCATCCCACTTGAGCCACTACTGCTGGGAAGCTGGCAAGTACCTTCAAGCTATATAAACAGCCGTCCATGTGCCAAATGAATAAGGGCCATGGGTATCATCTTTGTCCACAGGCTTCCATAGAGCCATCAGCAAAGCATGACTAATGCCTTGAGAGGGCACAGATCTTGTGTGGCTGTCACCTTCCACTGTGATACATTTGCAATGCTTGGTTACACTTCTAGCCTTGTTCTTCCAGACCCCTTCCCTCCGCACCGTGGGGAACATTGTCACGGGAACCGATCACCAGACCCAACTGGCCATTGACGCGGGAATACTGAGGGTGCTGCCCCGGCTCCTGTTGTACCCCAAGTCCTCCATCCAGAAGGAGGCAGCCTGGACCCTGAGCAATGTGGCCGCAGGGCCGCAGCAACACATCCAGGAGCTGATTGACTGCAACGTCCTGCCTCCCATGTTGGCGCTGCTGAAAAACGTAAGTAAGACAGACACTCTGTGTCTACTTTCCAACTGGCCCTGTATTGAACTCCTTCAGTAACTCAGACACAGGCTCTGAAGTGGATTAATTGAGACCACAACAAAACTATGAAACATTAATACCCCAGCTCTCCCTTAAAAATTTTTTTTTAAAAAAAGGAAGATGCATTCTGTTTGGACAACCCATGGAAAATTCAGAAGACTAACCAAGCATTGTGGAATGAAAAGTTGGCTCACTGCTCAAATATCCAGAAAAAATTTTGCGTTGGCAAATAGTGTTAAAAGAATGTGCCATCTACTCCCTACTTGCCAAAAGAGGTTTTGTTTTCTTTTAGGAGGAAAACCATATCCAGTTATACTGATATTATACACTAAAGATTGTGGCCTTTTCCGCACACAATCACATTGCTTAAAGTGGGAATATACACAGAAAATCCAAATATAAAAGTAGAAATACTTCCCTTCCCCAGAACAACTACTATCATCAGCATTTCTTTTTGCCACCTTTAAATGGACAGGCTATGTTTTTCTGCTTATGTGTTTCTGCTCTGAGGTTGGATGGTTGGTTCCAGGTTTTCATTAAGTGTTAAAAGCTAGGCCAGGTGCGCAACCCAAATCATAGCATCTCCCAGTCAATTAGACACTTCCTATCTATGTACTATCGGGAATCTGTATGTATTCTATTCAGAAGTATCCAGTCATGAATCAAGAAGTGATCTTAGTTCAAACTGTGCCTTTTGAACTATAATTTGCTTGGAGCCATAAGCTGTTTTGTGTGTGTGTGTGTGTGTGTGTGTGTGTGTGTGTGTGTGTATGTGTGTGTGTGTGGTTTTTTTGTTTTGTTTTGTTTTGTTTTATTTTATTTTGTTTTGTTTTAAACTGTAGTCACAGTTTCTCTCGGCCACAAAATAATGTCTCCTGCTCCGGGACAGTAGAATCTATGATCAATTACTCCCATATCTCTGTGTCAATTGCTTTTTATTAATGCAAGGGTCGCATTGAGTGATATTTCAGTGGGCTTCCTCAATAACCTCTGGGCTATCTCAGTCACTCAGATCACATCTGTGAGCTTAGCTTTGTATCTATGGAGCTTCTTAAACAGATTTTTACTAGGGCAAAAAGACGAGAAATGTGGACATTGGCCCCTAAAACCTAAAATTCCAAGCATAATTCCTAATCTATGTTGATTACCTGTATTGGTTTATGTTGTTTCTTTTTTTCCCCATCACCTGAGTTAATGAATTGAGCCTGTTTGAACTTAGGACCTCCCTCTAAAACCCCATATGAATCTATCCACCTCCTTCTTGACTTTAAGTCCCCAGGGTGTTCTCTCTAAATTGCACATAAGGCCCTGGCTGTCCCCAGCCTACCTAGAAACTGGACCGAGTGAGCATCCTTATATGTAAGCTCTACAGGATCTGTAAGGAATGTGCGTGTTCTCTTTCTGCAGGGAGAGTTTAAAGTCCAGAAAGAAGCTCTCTGGATGGTGGCTAACTTGACAAACGGGGGCACCGTGGACCAGATGATCCACCTTGTTCATTCTGGAGTCTTGGAGCCGCTGGTGAACCTGCTCACCGTCCCGGACACCAGATTTGTTATCATCATCCTTGATGTCATCTCTTTTCTCCTCCAGGTGAGCTGTTCTGGACAGGTTGGTTTCTAAGTAGCAGCCTCCAAACTTAAGACATTTCATTTCGTTCTTAAAACCCAAGTAGGACTCTCTTTCTTCCCAACTCCCCTATCTCCTCCCTCTGTGCACACGTTCTATGAATAATAATAATAAGAGGCCTTCCAAAGAAGGTACATTATCTTCATTTTCTCAAATGAGTGTCTTGTACCCAGCACTGCTGTAGATGCTCAGGATGTGGCAGATGAAAGCCTGGGTTCTCACAGAGCTTATGTAGTCGCGGGGAGGGGAACAGACACTTCAGGTGGGGAGTTAGAGGTAAATATACCTGAAAAAGAGGTAGTCCCTGATAGCTCAGAGTGAGGAGGAGAAGGTGATCTCTTATATTCAGTAGGCAGGAGAAACTTCTCTGAGGAATAATTTCTGAGCAAAGGCCTCAGAGAAATGAGTGGGTCTTGTGGCTATCTGGGGAAGAACATTCTAGGAAGAGCAAGAAAGATGGTATGGCCAGAGCACAGAGAATGGATGGAAGGTGGTGGAAGATTAGGCTCACGGCACCTAGGGGCCAGATCACATAAGGTCTGTGAGAACTTGGACTTATCTGAGTGAGAGGGGAAAAAACAAAGGTTTGAAGGAGGGGGAAATAGTGAGCCACATGGCTGACTCTTTTAGAAGACTAAAACATAGAATATACTTGAAGGAGCAGCAAGAAGTTAGCAGGGATTTATGTTAAGAGGCCAGACTAGAATTCCTTTCATATTCAACTAGATGACTGGGAAAATAAACTACAAAGCCCTGAAATAGAATTCTAAAAAAGTCTGATTTCTTAAAGAAAGGTAAGTGAAGGCAATATTTTTATACTATTGGTCTTGGTTCTATATTGCTGCATAACAAATTATCCCTTAGTGGCTTAAACATTTATTATCTCACATAACTTATGGGGTTAGGAATCTGGAGCAGCTTACCCGAATGGTTCTGGCTCAGGGTCTCTAATGAGGTTCAGGATGTCAACTGGGGGCTTCAATCTCATGTGAACATTTGATAGAGGCTGAGGATCAGCTTCCAAGATGGCTCACTCATGTGCCTGCCAAGTTATCCCCACCACACGAACCTCTCCCGGGACGGGACGGCTTGAGTGTCCTTACATGATGGCAGCTGGCTTCCCCTGGAGCAAGTAATCTAAGAAAGCAAGGTGGAAGCCCCCGGTCTTTTAGGATCTTTAAAGGAGGTCATTTCAACAAAAGCCTATTGGTTACACACATCAGCCCTATTAACACTCTAACACAAAGGCATAAACACCAGGAGGCAGGAGTCACCTGGGACCATCTTGGTTAAGGTCTTTTTATAGACAGCTAAGCCATTTGGAAAGTTTCAAAGTAGCACGAGGGAACCCCTTTTGGAAACTCACTCGAAGCACTCTTTTCATGTAACTGTCTTGGAAAGAACTGACCTGAGTCAGAACAGATTTGAAACACAGCCCAGCTAGACACTAAGACGTGAGCAAATCATACAAAGAGTAGAGACTTGACAGCCCATAGACTAAGTTGGACATAACAAATCTGTAAATGCAAATAGAAGTTTAACTTCGTCTGCTTCATTTAAACATTGGGATTTTTCTCAGAAGAGTCTGGGCAAATCCCATCTGGTGGACCACTGCACCCCCTAGACCAGATGGAGGCTGTGGGGGCCGTAGGTTAGAAAGGTCAAGATGAGACAGGAAAACGTTCAAGTAGGCAGCAGATGCAGTTGAGGTTCTTTGAAGTAACTTTGGGGCCATTTACTGTTAAGGTCCAAAATCCTTGGCCAGCGCTCCTGCTGCCCACAGCTCAGTGTGCTTTCTGAAGCTAATCTATCATGTTGATTCCTGCCCTACTTTCTTTACTCAAATCTACTAACTCATAGGACGAGAAGATATTAAGGCTCAGACGTACAGTGCAAACGGCCATCAGGTAAATAATGTGGGCTAATGAATTAACTTGACCCAGAGGAGGGTTTTTTATTACTGCTCCCAAGATAGCAAGTACAGCCCTTCCAGATATGACAGCCAAGTTTTTCATCTTCCTCCACCTCCTGATATGCTGTTTAGCTGAGCTATTATTCCCTCTTCTCATAACATGCAGTCCTTATTCCTTCCAAACTCTGTCCTCACTGTTCCTTCTTCTGGGAATGCCATTCCCTATGACTGACCTGGCACAGTATTGTTACTTTCCAAGCATTCTGTGCACATCTTTTATAATTTAAACCTCTGCCTATTTACTAAATTAAACTTTTTACACACACACACACACACACACACACACACACACACACACACACACGTATTACATAAATATCCAGAGTGGAGGAAGAGCATGCAAGTTGAAATCACTTTGGGAAAAGCGAAGCTGCGGCTGCCCGTTCTGGTACAGGGAGCCTTTGGCCGGGTTCCACTCGTGAGGCTCCCTGTCCCCAGGCTTCTGCCCAGGCCTCATTTTCCCTCCTATTGCCCCCCAGGCAGCAGAGACGCTTTCTAAGAAGGAATACCTGTGTCTTCTGATCGAGGAACCTGGTGGGGTTGACAGAATCAAAACCTTGCAATTTCATGAGAACCATCGTGTGTCCATGACTGCTCTGAACATCATTGAGAGCTACTTCTCTGAGGTAGGTGACTTCAAGAGTAAAGTGGCATCCGTACCTCCTGGCAGGTGCCTGTGCTGCCTCTGTAAGGTGGGTGATCGGACAGGCGGGTCCTCTCGGGACGTAGCCGGAGTGCAGGGTCTGCCTTTGAGGAGCAGCTTTCTGGCTCCTGAAAACGGCTCTAATCCCTTAGAAGCTTGTCCTGTTACCTCTGGTTTCAATTATTACTTTCCCCCCCCTACTTGACTCTTTTGCAGGGAGGGCAATAGTACAAGAAGGAATGTGATGTTAAAGTGGCTCTTTATTGAAAAAAAATGCAGACAACTAAGGCAGGCCCCAGCTTTTAAAGAATCATTTTTGCTGTTTACTGCATTTTTTTTTTTTTTTTGTCTCTTTCTAGAATACGGTGTTTGGGGATGAACTCTTACAAAAGGCTTCTAAGTTTTCTGCAGGAGCCAGGAATAATTATCAGATAACATTAGACATTCTTTAAAACATTTTTTATAGTGGTAAAATATGCATAACATAAAATTTAGCATTTTAACCATTCTTAAGTGGACAATTGGTGGCATAAAGTATTCACATTACTGTGCACCTCAGTAATGTGAATATACTTCACCACTGTTCATCTCAGAACTCATTTATCTTTCCAAAACAAACTTTGTATCCATTCCCCATTCCACTGGTAGCCACCATTTTACTTTCTAGACTACTTCTTTTTATTGTTTTTAATATATTTTTATTGATTTCAGAGAGGAAGAAAGAGAGAGATAGAGATAGAAACATCAATGATGAGAGAGAATCATTGATCAGTTGCCTCCTGCATACCCCTACTGGGGATTGAGCCTACAACCCAGGCATGTGCCCTGACCAGGAATCAAACACTGACCTCCTGGTTCATAGATCGATGCTCAACCACTATGCCACACCAGCTGGGCACCACTATTATATTTACTGTCTCTCTTTGACTACTCTAAACACTTTGACTACTCTAAATATAGTATGCATCCTTTTATGATTGGCTTATTTCATTTAGAACAATGTCCTCAAGGGTCATCCATGTTGTAGTATATTTCAAAATGTCTTCCTTTTAAAGCCAGAGAATATTGCAGTGTATGGATATACCACATTTTGTTTATTCATTTATCTATCAATGGACACTTGAGTTATTTAACTTTCTGGCTATTGTAACTACTCTTGCTATGAGCATGAAAGTACAAATATCTATTCAAAATTCCTGCTTCCAATTCTTTGGGGTATGAACCCCGAAGTGGAACTGCTGAATCATTTGGTATTCTATTTTTAATTTTTTATGAATAACCTACTGTTATCAATAGTGGGTATACCATTTTACATTCCTACTGGCAGTGCACAAGGGTTCCCATTTCTCAGCATCTTACCAATACTTCTTTATTTTTATTTTTATCATAGCCATTCTAATGTGTGTGAAGTAGTATCCAATTGTAGTTTTGATTTGCATTTTTATTCGATATTTTTCATGAGGAAGGAGAGCTCAAATTTCCTAAGTGGCCAGGTAAGCTTGGGGCTAGAAGTTAGAGAGTGAGTGGTACTCTGTTAGGTATTAAACAAAATTCATCAACAAAATCAGAGCCTTACAGTAAATATGACCATGGTGGTGGTTGGTGCTAACCAGAGGCAGCTAATCTTGGTTTGGAACCAAGAGGATGCTCTCAAAGTAGAGAAGATCCAGAACAATGATTAGCATCTTTTGAATTTGAAGCTTTTATGAAAAGCTTGTAGTTAGGAGACTTATCCTTTAAGTAGGGTTTGTATCCATAGGACTCATATAAGGGCTCCAGGTCAAATACTTCTGTTCTAGAAGTAACAGCTACACCCATTGTATCCTTACTCACAATAAAGCTAGTGTTCTGTGTCAAAACTGCATTTAAAAATAAGCCAGACAGGCTTCCAGGTCAAAGTGATGGCATAGGTAAACTTGGTACTTACTGCCTCCCATAACCACATCAAAACTTAAACTGAAATATAGACCACCTATCATTCAGAACCACATGAAATCTAGTAGAATGATCGTCTTACAACTAGGGAATTTAAAAAGAAGCACATTGAGACCGGTAAGAGGGGTGGAATTGCAGAACCACCTGATCTCACACCCACATGTGGCAGTTTAAAATCGGGAGGGATATCTTGGCCATGGAGATTTCTCTGAGGAGCAAGGGGATCCCTGCCCCACACCAGGTCTCCAGCCCACAGTACCAGTGCCAGGAAGAGAAGCCCCCACAACTTCAGATTGTAAAAACCAATGGGGATTGTGGCTAAGTGACACTGAGGATGTGAGAGTCCCAGGCAATTCCTCTTAAAGGGCCCACACATGGGCTTTCTCGTACTCCCTCTGAGCTCCAGCACTGAGGCAGCAGCTTGAAAGGAACCTCAGGGAGGAACTAACCTGTCTGGAATCAGAGAAAGAGCTGGAGGAGCATCTTTTTCCTAGACAGAAATGCTGGCAGAGGCCAATGTTTCTTTGCTGAGACCTCCCTGCCACAGAGCTGACAGGCTGTGCCATATCTGAATCTCCATCAACCTGGTTCACACTTTTCACCCTGCCCTCATGATTCCCCGAGACTCTGTCCCTCCCTACTTGCAATTTCATCTAAGACATTTCCAGGGGCTTTTCCATATCACTGGCTTCTTTTGCCTCATGCTTTGGACATTCCTAAAAATTCTCAAACAAGCAGTAGCCAGCATCAGTGTGCCCCCTACCTATCAATAAGTGGTCCCAGGCCTGACATTAGCATTAGCCCACCCTGGTTCAGTTTGGCCTTTCCTGAACACTTCCAAGCTCAACACAAGTAGCAGCCATCTGCAGAGCACGATGGCTGGATGACCCCAGGCAGGACACAGACAAAGGCTGACTTTGCACCTCTTCGGAAGCCCCAGAGCCACCCAGCGGTCAACTTCCACCATGCCAATTACAACTCTACCACCTTCATGAGTGACACACTCAAGGGGTGGGTTCAATGAGCACCAAAGCCCCACTGAAGCAAGTCCTGTTCCATGGGGGCATCTCCTGCACATAGCTCTTCAGCTGTAATTGCAACTAACCCTTGCAACTAATTGACCTGAGAGTCAACCCCTCCCAGTGATACCAACATAAATCAAAGCTCAGCTACAATAGGACAGTGCACACAGCTCACACAGGGTTGTACCAATTCACAAAGGAGCGCCCAGCTCAGGTGACTTGGGAGGCCAAGCCAGTGGGCCCTAAAGTACACCTACACAAGGTGACTCTATCAAGTCCAGGAGACATAACAAATCTACCTAATATATAGAAACAAACACAGGGAAGCAGCCAAGTATGGAGACAAACAATTCACACACAAAAATAAGTAAGAAAGTAAATAAATAATTAAATAAATAAGCAAATAATTAAACAGGAGAAATCTCCAGGAAAAAAAAAAAAAAAAAAAAAAAAAAAGCTAAATGAAATGGAAGCAAGAAAAATACCAGATACAGAGTTCAAAACAATGCTTATAGAATGCTCAAGGAACTTAATGATAACTTCAAGGAACTTAGTGAGACTAACATCAACAATATAAAAAGTGACCAATTAGAAATGAAGCATACACTAATTGAAAGAATAACTTTCAGGGGATTAACAGTAGAGCAGAGGACGTTGAGAAACAAATCAAGAATTTGGAATATAAGGAAGGAAAATTCACCCAGTCAGAACAGTAAAAAGAATAAAAAATCCAACAATATGAAGATAATATAAAGAGTCTCTCAGACAACTACAAACATACCACCATTTTCATCATGGGGATACCAGAAGAAAAGAGAGAGCAAGAAATCAAATACCTATTTGAAAAAAATGACAGAAAACTTCCCTTACCTGGTGAAAGAAATAGACATATAATCCAGGAAGCACAGAGAATCCTAAACAAGAGGAACTCAAAGAATCTCATACCAAAATACTTCATAATTAAAATGCAAAAGGTTTGTTCTAGGGGGTGGAAGTGGCCAGGGAGGGGGTCAATGAGAGGAAAAGGAGACATATGTAATACTTTAAAGAATAAAAAATTAATTTAAAAATAAAATGCAAAAGGTTAAAAAGAAAGAAACTCTTAAAAAGCAGCAAGAGAAAAGCAGTTACATATAAGGGAGCTCCTATAACACTGCCAGCTGATTTTGCAACAGAAACTTTGTAGGCCAAAAGGGAGTGGCAAGAAATATTCAAAATGGTGAAAAGCAAGGGCCTACAACCAAGATTACTCTATCCAGCAATGCTATTATTTAGAATTGAAGGCCTGATAAAGAGCTTCCCAGACAAAGAAAATCTAAAGGAATTCATCACCACCAAATAAGTAGTTCATAAAATGTTAGAGTCTTTTTAAAGAAGAAGATGGGGAAGAAGGGGAAGAGGAGACTAATAAAAGATCAAAAATATGAACCATAAAGTGCAATAAATGCATATCTATCAACAACTAAATCTAAAAATCAAGATAAATGAACAAGGAATCTAATGAACAAAATTAGCTAATAAATAAAATAGAACCAGAGGCATAGAAACAAGGAATAGATCAATGAAACTCAGAGGGAAGGGGAGAGAGGGACCAGGAAGAGATTAACCAAAGAACTTATGCATATATGCATTACCTATGGATACAGACAGGATGGTAAAGGCCTGGTGTGGGGCAGGAACTAGATGGAGGGGGTCAATGAGAGAAAAAAAGGGGGACTTTTGTAATACTCAATAATAAAGGTTTAAATAAATTAATAAAAATCCAGACACAAAAGTACAAATATTCCATGATTCCACTTACATGAGGGATCTAGAGTAGTCAAACTCATAGAAACAGAAGTTAGAGTGTTGGTTTCCAGGGGCTGAGCGGCAGAATGGAATGGGGATTTTTAATGGGTACAAAGTTTTGGTTTGGAAAGAAGAAAATTTTCTGGAGATGGATGATGTGGTTGCACAGCAATGTGAATGTACTTAATGCCACTGAACTGTCTACTTAAAAGTGATCAAAGATGTTAAATTTTCTGATATGTATGTTTTATCACACATTCAAAAAAACCTGTATTTAAGATCCATATCAAGAAATACTTCATGCTTCCCTCCTTCAAATTATTCTCTGAGGGAACCTTGAAACTAACTTAGAGCAAATAATAACCCACTGCAGATATTAAGGAGTTAAGGGGTGGTAATAATGTATTGAGAGCCTGGAGGTATAACAGTGTCTTTTCTCCCCTTAAGGAAGAAGAAGTTGGCCCAATATTACAATCCTTGGACCAAGATCATGAATGCATAAAGCATTTAATATAATACTACCAAAGCTCCACAACTTCTAAACCAAGGACCAAACCCTAAAGGGTAACTTCTTAAAGAAGCAGCACTCCTATATTTTGGTGTATCACGGGTATAAAGCTTTTAAAACTGAATGCTAATAAAATTTTTCACACTCTCACCTCTATAAAGATAAGTGCAGTTAAACCACTTGTGTCTTAAAAAAATATCTATGTGGAATTCATGTCCTGAGAATATGTTGTTTAATGGTTATTTTTAAGGATCGTCAAGTAAGATCTTCAAAATGGAGTAGAATGGTCTGTTAGCTATCTAGACAAACTCTGACTTGTAGATTCGATTTAACTAGTATTTCTTAAGCACGTGCATTCACTTCCCTTTTCATTTTTATGTAATCCCTATTGTTACCAGACCCAAATTGGGTCTAATTATTCAGTAGTTGCCAGACAAAAGACAACTCCAAGAAGATTTTATGAGAAGGAACTTTATCGCAAGCCAACAAGCAAGGAATACAATGTGGATAGCTCCCCGAGGAGTGTGTCCCCAAACAAAAGATTGCATTTGTCTTTACTGAGGGAAATCCTACATAAACATCAAGGTAACCTTCGTCATCACATGTATGGGTGGGGACATTCTTGCACCTGTGCAATTAGCAAACATGCCTACACATACGTCGCATGTTTAAAAATGGTGGGAAATCTCCACCCCTAGGAGGAGATTTTCATATTATAATGAAGGTATAATGAGAAAAGGTCATGAGGTCAATTAAGGGTCTTTTAGGCCACTTCAGCTAGTCCCAGGCAATTTGAGCCAGATTAGCCCCTTGGTTCTGCAAATCACTCCCAGGAGTCTGCCTGAAAAGACATGTCTGGTGACTGTCAAAGTCGGGGATAGTATAAGTATGGAAGAAAATGTGTGTGTGCATACACACAGCTTAGGTTACACTATTAATGTATAGAACATGCTTCAGAGAAAGCTGTGTGGGCCACCTCAAGGAGGAGAGAAGGAGAGAGAGTGGCTAAGATGAAATGGACCTAGACATACAGTATGTGGGGTATGTTGAAAGAAGGACTGGACTTGATTCATGTAATTTGAGTGTAGGTATTATACCAAGTTATATAAAGCATCTCACCAAACTGTCATACCCAAAGTATATTCACTGGTCCTTGATAAGTGATGAAATGTGTGGGCGTCCATCAAAAACACTACTAGTAGACAGTTCATGTCACACAAACTTCTCATTCCGTGGTGAAAACAAACCAACAATTACATGGACATTGGGCCTTCCAATCAGTATTGTCCCTTTTGGGGTGACTCTCTGCCTGCTGCTGAGGGCTGCATTGGTGAGATGGGATCCTCACAGTGTTCTGCTCTCCTACATGGAAATGGAGGGGACTTGGGAGATTCCTCTCAACTCCCTCTTTAGTTCATCAGCTCTGGACATGCTAGCACGGCACATCTTTTGCCAAGCAAAAATCTTATTCTGCAAGGATTTTGCCTCTTTGACCCAAGGACAGAAAACACACATAGTTGGCTGTGTTCACTCCAGTGGCAGGACCTTATGTCCGGAGGAGAGGATGCTGTGAGAGGCTGCATGCTTCCTGCTTCTCCAAGGCCTCCCTAAGGGTCCTATACTCCCTCTCATACTCTTAATGCATTCCCTCCTTGTTTAACCAGAGTCAGTTTCTGTTGCTTGCAGCTAAAGAACCTTAACTGATACATGTGAGGATGAAAATTTAAAATATAACTACTTATTATTTAAACCCAAGAAAGCTACTAGAGCTCATCCTGTCATGACAGACATTGTATAAAATTTGAACTTTTAAATTAAAAACAATGTAAATATATAGTATAAATTACATATAAAATATGTTACCACATTGTATATATTTCTTATAAATATATACAATGAAAAGCTAAAAATGGGGGAGGGGCCTTCTTATTAGTCTAACACAACTATTTCATGTTTGCACTTTCCCTTCCAGTTTGAGTCAACATACATGTTTTTATTTATCTGGTTCATTTTCAACATTTTAAAGCACCACTTTTCTCCCCTGTCTATAACCAAAACTGAGGGGAAAGCAGAAGGTGAGGTTGTTTACCAAATACTTTTTTGAGGGGAAAAAAAGTTTTTTAGTTAAAAAGTTAATCACTGTCTCTCGCTCCAATGGTCTGCCCTTGTTGACTCAAAATACTGTTAGCCTCTTTTTTTCTCCTGTCAGTCAACTATTTTTTTTTTTTACTAAAAATTTCATAACAAAGGAGCATTTATAGTTTAAAGACACTGATACTAACTTGCCTAACAAGGTCTTAAAGAAAGGAGCTATTTGCCTATTGTACATGGTTTGGGTGCAAAGAGATGGTGTTAGTCACCTGGCTGAGTGCCCATATGCTTGGACTCAGCATGTTGGGATGACTGGCAGAGCAACAAAGAGTGGAAAGAAGGAGTAACTGGCTGTATGTTGTCTTTACGATGGAACAACTCTGGCCCTCTTGCATTTATTCCACATTTGTTATGTGCCATAGAGAAAATGCAATTCTCTCAGTTGACCACATACAATGCATAATTTACTATTTTCCTGAAACAATGGAGTGACTATTTAATGATAATAGCCATGTGATACTTTAGTCCTTGCTCTCTTTTCTAAATAGTTGAAGCCTGGCAAAGTCATGTAATTCCTCTGTACCTTAATGCCTCATCAGTCAGTTCTTCTCATTCCTTCTGGCTTCCCATATTCATCTTTAAAATAGGGGGATTGGGTTTGAAAAATTAATAGTTGTACAATGTTTTATCTTATGTGAGACTCAGCAACCCTGAAAACTAGATGAGGCAAAAATGGTCATCAATTTCCAAGTAAATATATGGGCGATCATGAGCTTATTCAACTTGTTCTGACTCTTTTAGTAAGTAGTTGAGCAGAGACCCCAAAGTGTTAATTATCTGCTTCATAACACATTTTCTCAAAACTAAATGACTTTTAAAAATACTTAATGCAGCCCAGTCAGCATGGCTCAGTGGTTGAGAGTCAATGCAGGAACCAAAAGATCACCAGTTCAATTCCCTGTCAGGGCTGATCAATGACTCTCTCATCATTAATGTTTCTATCTCTCTCTCCCTCTTCCTTCTTCTCTGAAATCAATATAAAATAATAAAATAAAATAAAAATACTTTGTGCATAGTTTAGTGAGCCATAATCTGGAGACAGCTGAGCTGGTGGTTCTGAAACTGCTGTCTCACCTGAAGGCTCAGATGAGGATTGCTTCTAAAGTCACTTGTGATAGCCGATGTGGATAGAGCATCAGCCTGCAGACTGAAAAGTCCCGAGTTCAATTCCGGTCAAGGGCATGTTCCTTGGTTGCAGGCACATCCCCAGTAGGGGGTGTGCAAGAGGCAGCTGATTGATGTTTCTCTCATCGATGTTTCTCTCTATCCCTCGCTCTTCCTCTCTGTAAAAAATCAATAAAATATATATTTTTTTAAAAATAAAGTCACTTGTGATAAGTAGTAGGTTTCAGTTATTCCATGGCTGTTGCCTAGAGACCAGTTTCCCACCACATGGATGGCTCCAAAGACTGCTTAAATCTCCTGCCCACAGGACAGTTCACTTTCTCCCAAAGCAAGTGATCTGAGTATGTTTGCATGGGAGAAAGAGCATGCCAAGGTAGAAGCTGCAGTATTTTATAACCTAATCTCAGTAGTGATATGATAGAACTCCTGCTATATTCAGTTGGTTACACAAACTATCCCTGGTAGAATGTCAGAGGGGCTACATAGGATGTGAAGACTAGGATGCAGATATTTTGGAAAGCCACCTTGGAGCCTGACTAACACATTCTGCCACTCTACCATGTGTGCACATTTTAAAAGAAATCATTTAAATAATAGCAAAGGGTCAGTGAATGTCAGCAAAGAAATAGGAGAGATAAAGAATCAAATGGAAATTTTAGAACTGAAAAATACAATATCTAAAATTAAAACTTTGCTGGATGGAGTCAACAACAGAATGGAGTAGAGAGAGGAAAGAATCAGTGAACTTGGAGAACAATAGAAAGAAGCAAACATGGATCCAACTACCAATTTACAGGAAATACAGAAGACTGAAAAATGATAATCAACACATCAGAGATGCAATCAACAAAATTCAAACTGTGAGAAACTATTTAGGACAAACATGTCTGTCTCTTCATCAAATACATTCCAATTTAAAAATTACACATGGGGAGCTATAGATTGAGACAGAAAAGACATATTGGCCATCCAGAATGTGTAGACAGACTCTATTAGTATTCTGATTGCAACAAACAAATGTAAAAATAAAACACATATGACATTTATGAGATAATTGGAAATTTGAACATTGAGTGGAGGTTTGATATAAAGAACTGTTCATTTTTGTTAGATTTTATAATCAAGGTTATGTTAATTAAATATGTCTCTATCTTTAAGAGGTATGCACTGAATGATTACAGATAAAAATGATTTTTGGGCTGGGACCGGTTTGGCTCAATGGATAGAGCGTCGGCTTGGGGACTGAAGGGACCCGGGTTCGATTCCGGTCAAGGGCATGTACCTTGGTTGCAGGCATATCCCCAGTAGGGGGTGTGCAAGAGACAGCTGATCGATGACTCTCTCATCGATGTTTCTAACTCTCTATCTCTCTCCCTTCCTCTCTGTATAAAATCAATAAAATATATTTTTAATAAATAAATAAAAAATAAAAATGATTTTTGGCATTTGTATCAAAGTAATATGGAATAAGAGAAGTGGAAGAGATAGACATACATATTGGTCAGAACTAGCAATGTGATGATGGCTGGAAAAGAGTCTGTGGAGGATATTATACTTTTTTTTCTACTGTGGATGTTTGAAGTCCTCCATAATTAAAAGATAAAAAGAGAAACCATTATAACTTTGTATTCCAGGAAGTTGATCATCTGCCCCTTCAATCTGGCAGTAAACTGGACGTTTGCTTTTGCAAGTGACAAAAAAAAAAGTCTCTGTACTGAAATATGTACATTGG